AAAAGATCAATGGAAACGAGACTCAAGCGCACAAAGCAAATCGCCGGATAGGACAAACTGAGAAGTCTGCGGTAGCTGAACATGCACTAAGCAATGGGGACCACAGGATACACTTTGGGAGCTGCAGGTTGCTGTCATCAGTCAACGGCTATCACAATGGACTGGTGAGGGAAGCTATCGAGATTCACAAACATCCAGATAACTTCAACAGAAAGGAAGAGACCCTCAGACTCAACCCGATCCTCAGAAACGCCCGACATCCCTAAGTCAGCCGAAGCGGAACAAGCCACATCACCTACCCTCCGGGATAAATACAACCTACGCAAGAGAAATCATCAGTCTACATCCAGCATCGGAAAAGGTAGAACCTCTGAAGAAGCTTGCCACTCGTGCTAGCGAAACGATAGGAAGAAATTCTAACCGACGATCGCCTTTAGACCCGAATCAAGACAGCAGTTTATCAACTGACCACGAAAGCCTTAAACAATTTGTTCAACAAATAGTTGATATGATTTGTGCGCTAGGAGCGAGTGACAAGAATTGTTTATCGGATATAAGATTGTATAAGCAGCGCCAGACAGAAGACAACCACGTAGGAAAACTCTCGATAATGTTATGGAGCATACAGGAAGTGTGGCATATGAGAAGAAAGTGCAACAATAGTGAATCGTTCTGTTGGAAGACTCTCCTACTCGCCACAGTTTCATGGCTGATCTGTCTGTTTTTACGCGGATCACGACCGCACATGCCGCTTGGCGATATCTGTCGAGGACCGTGCTAGTGACTCGCCTACTAGATCGACGCGAAGTTACCTCGACGATTCTTGAAAGCCGCTAGGTGGCTCACCGGATTCTTCTCGAGCCAACGATGCGGACTATATAACTCGACGGCCAGGAGATGGAAGCAGAGCAGAATGGAGTATAGTTCAGTCAGTGGCGCGACATACGAATTAGTCAGACATAAATTGTGGTGTATATAAATGTTTTATACCGTTAAATAAATTAGTGTATTTCTTTTTCTGGAATCCAGTGTTTTAATCTACACCCAAAAGAACCCAGAAAACGCTTCTAAAGGAAAAGCGAAAGATTTAGACATTAACAACATCCAGGTCATAAAGATGTCCTAGATACGATCCTTATTGCGTTACTTGTACGCTGGTTTTTCATGTTAATGATCTGCCTGAAGCTTTTTCCAAGGACTTTTAATGTATTTCAGCGGGGTATTTCAGGGGTAATCTTTAGAGTGAAGGGTAAGGGAAAGATGTCTAGGTGTGTAACATAAGACGCACTAATAGATAGTTAGACAAACGTATATTAAATTATTTTTGAAGCGCATTTACAAGGAACTATGGAGAAATACATTTACAAATTTGGAAAAAATAATCACAAAACACACTTTTGATGAACTGTTGACGGCTTAGATGAAGTAAGCTCCATAGTAGTAGGGATATGAGTAGATGAACTGGGGCGATGGTCCAGCGACGGGGGAGGGGTTAGGGGCAGCAACTGGATCCGGCAACGCGAACGCCCTAGGGGCAGCCAAGGCTACGCTGGCGAGGGCCAGGACAGCGAACAGAACGAACTGGAAAATAGAGATTATTTTATTATACTATTCATCAATTATTGACAACAATAAAGCTCAGGGGTCTGTTTTGGTGTTTTTGATATATGTTGCTGATCCACATGAGAGTTTCTGTCTTTCGATAGTGATGATATAGAAATGGCACATGCATCAATAAACGATTATATTCAAAAAAACCTGTTAACAAATCTAGTAAATCTTAGTAAAGGCAGCATTTTATTTTTTATTCAGGTAGTAAAAGAGAAGACGTTAAAAGTCTAAGATTGTATCCGGTTGATGAGGTTAAAATTCATGGAGTAATAGTCGATTTTAAGCTTAGATTTACCAGCCATGTAAGAAACCTTTTAAAGAAAACCTATTCGAGACTGAGATCATTATATGCTAATAAAGCAATGTTGAATTTTAAACTAAGGAAAACATTGGTTATGCCTTGAGATATTTTATATTATCCATGTCTTGATGTTACTGTTAGAAATCGGACTCAAATTTTGCAAAATATACTAAGTGACATATAAATCCGAACACAGTTTAAATGGTTTTATTATAATAAAATTTTGTATGAGTACTTAATCAAGCATAATAAGTAAATGATAAAAATTTCAAAATGATTGCACTGCTTTAAAGCCCTTTGACCTTTAATAATGTGTGGATGCACCCTGATGTGCTACGCATTCTCCAACGCGCCTAGGCATGCTTCTGATCAGGTGGTCAATGTCCTCCTGTGGTATCTCATTCCAGGCAACCACCAACTCCTCTCGAAGTGCTTCTAGAGTCTGAGGAGGACGTTGCAAATTGAGCAATCTCCTACCCATCATATCCCACACGTGCTCAATTGGGGATAAGTCGGGAGATCTTGGTGGCCATGGTAACAATGTGACATCATTATGTTGAAAGAAGTCTATTGTGACTCTTGCAACATGTGGTCGGGCATTATCTTGTTGGAAAGTGGGATCTGCCAGGGTGTCAAGATATGGTAAAAGATGGGGTTCTAGAACTTCGTGGATATAACGCTGTGCGTTCATGTTACCTCTGATGAAGATTGAAGGTGACCTGGAACCATAAGCTACAGCACCCCAAACCATAACTCCAACAGTGTGATGAACATGTCTTTCAACAAAAAACTGTGGATTCCTCCTTTCACCACGTCGCCTTCTAACCCTGGCACGACCATCGTGCATGCCTAAACGAAATCGAGACTCGTCACTAAAGACAATACTGTTCCATTCCTGATCCCAGAGTGACCGTTGTCTGCACCACTCAAGGCGATTACGTCGGTGTTCTCGAGTTAAAGGGAGATCCCAGTGTGGCCGGTATGAAAACAAGCCAAAACTTCTCATTCGTCGGTAAACACTTCTCATGCTAATAGGTCTTCCGTGTTCTGCAAACCATTCATTTGCAGTGGACCTGGTAGTGGAGAAACGGTCCCTTAAGGCCAATAATCTTAGGCGGCGATCTTCACGGTCTGTTGTTCTACGGCGGCGTCCAGTGCCCTTTGCTCTTTGCGTACGGCCTTCTCGAAGCCATGCCTGACAACACCTAACCACAGTGTCTACACTTATTTGCACTCTAACTGCAATTGCCCGAAAAGAAAGTCCAGCTTCCCGAAGTCCCACTATACGGCCCCTATCAAACTCGCTAAGTTGACGAAATCGTACAGGTCTCCGTACTCTAGGCATCGTAACCGATCGTAAAGGATGTCAAGAACCGAAATCCGCCAACGTTGATTCTTTACTGCGGCTGAAATATTCATTTTTAGAGCGTTAGTGAATTAAAAAAAAGCAGTATAAAAACCGGAATGTCCAACTGATAAGGCTGAAAATTTTTTCACTTGTTATTTACAGTAAGATAAATACATTCACCAACTTTTATTAAAATAAAACCATTTAAACTGGGTGTTCGGATTTATATGTCACTTAGTATATAAGCGTAAAAGTAGTAGATCCTATTTATTTGAAAGTACGAAAAGCATTCATTTCTATTTCATCGTTTTCATCGGTTTTTCTCCAGTCGATGCATTTTTGTAGACGCTGTCAAAACTGAATCGCTGTGTTAAATGTTCTTTCCATCTAAGAAACATTTGATAGTCACTAGGTGCCGTATCCGGTCCACAGAGTGGATGGGTGATGATCCCAATTTGACACTTTATTAAATATTGCCGTTGTATACTACCACCTGTTCTACTGGATTTGTGATCGTGTATAGTCAAATACACACACTTTATAACGATGTGTCAATAATTAGAAATGAATGCAATTTGCACTTTTAAGAAAATAGGAGACCAACTTTTGGCACGATGAGCATTTACTCTGTTTACTCTTTGTATTTATGGAATTATTATTTTTAGACACAGTGATATAATCTTACGACTTCAAAACTGTGAAAGCCCTTGACGCTTAGGGTATCCTTATCGATCATAACCCATTTATTTTCTGAGATAAACAAAAATGGGGCATATGAAAGATAAGGAAGATGGAGATATCTTGTTTTATCTCCGGGAAATTTCTACAAAAGATTAAATATGTTTCCCATGCTTTTGATAAAACTCAAAACATGTTAGAAAATATGCTGACTTTCGAAAAAAAATATTGAAATTCAAAATGCCTATCTCTATTGCGACCTTAACTTCTTTATGCTCAAGTTTCTTGTTTCTAGCTCAAAAATAAATAAGTTATGATGGAAACATGTATGTATGTTTACATAGAAACAGATAAGGATGAATCTTTAATATTTCTTAGTAATTATGATGCCCAGAAATATCAAACGTATCTAATCCAATTTTTCGACAAAAAGTAAGGCCGAAAACGACACAAAGCGGTATTTATTGATTTCTGGTATATTCTGTTTAAAAAGAAACTCAATCCGTTTTATGTGTATATAAGATTTAGAAACATTGCGAATGTTTTTTTTCGAAAATTCGTGGAATAGAAGAAAGTATAGAAAAAATATCAAACCAAAGAAAATAAGAGCATGAATTATCTAGATGATTCCAATTGATATAAAATTCAGCAATACTCACCAATTTCATCATTTTGAGGTTGGAAAGTGTATGAGTACTAGAAGACTGCAAAATATAGCTAGATCACAGAACTGATTCTGTTTCTGCTTGATTCGTATTTCGGCGCCACTTATATACCAAAAAACATGATTTACATAGCGTATTTGGTATTCAGCGTCCACAATTCTTGAGGATGTAGGTGAATTGAAATGCAAATTAAAATTCAGTGCTTGTATAACGTAAAATTATTGTATATTTGCAATGTGTATTAGACTCGCAATTCCCAGAACATCAAACAAACAGGCTTTATGGCCAATTAGATAATGAGGAACATATAAGTATTTGTTTTTGTTTATTGTTTATATTGACAAGCTGCTGTTTGAATGCTTAATCGACTAGCAAGCAGGTAATCAGTGGATCAAAAATGTTTTCACAATCGCTTTTTTATCTGGTTTTAAAAAGCGGCCTGTAAAAGACAAACAAAATAACAGTAAAGATATACAAACACAGTACGATCTTGGAAAATATAAATACGTTTAATCAGTTTGTTAGAGATTCTCCGGTAAAAAGCATCGCATACAAAAGGTGAGATATTATATCCTTTCTCTGCGATAGAATATTCGGAACTTAAAAACAACCCTTCCTGATTATGAGAACTTTCTAGTAGAGAGATATTATAATACCTCTGGTGTTGCTAGTAAATATCTCCTTTTATAGTGGGAAATTCCCAGAAACACTGGAAACTAGTACAGTCACCATAATAAAGAATTACTATTCAAAAAAATTAAGGGAGCAAGAAAAAATCATTTTTTTTGTGATCTTTGGCAGGCTGTGTTTCAGTGAAAAATGATCGTATCGAGATTTCAAAAAAAGTATTTTGAAGTTCTTTGATTCTAGTTTTCAGGTTGTTTAGTCATAAAATTCTAACAGAACACAAGCAGAATGTTTTGCAAAATATTTTGACATATCTTTTTAGTCCACGACCTAGAATTCTTTTTTCTGTCTGGTTATCATATGGATCAGATAACTAGCTTATTCAGATTCAATATTCTGCTTTTAAAATATCCATACGATTATTTGGCGCGGAGATATCCGATTTTGAATGAAAAATCATCCTTTTGTCATCTACCACTGATATCACGGCAACCAGCGATCGCACAGAGAATATAAGTGTATTTCCGAAAACTGGAATAAACCCTAAAATTGTTACAATTGCTTCTTTAAAACTGGAGATGTCACAGATATACAAAAGTGACATCAAAAGAAGAAAAATGATATTTCCATTTTCAACTACATTACACGATGTTTTGATACGAAATTTATATTTCTTTGATTTCTGTAAAACTTTGACCAATTCTTCTGGAGAAACCGTGCAGTGGATTAATATGCGTGGTGAAGGGTTATCAGGGGTACATTGAGGTATAAAAAACCTAAAAACATCAGCTCAGTTCAAAACAGGGCAACCGCTTTTTTATATTATATTGAGACGTGGTCATTGTGGTTTTTAATATCTCTAGCTTTCAATGGTCTTTGCCATCATCATCAGGAGAGTAGTATGTGAGGATGTTGCTAAATGTTATTTACGTTAAGGATGAGGAAAACACCCAGTAACATGTTGAAAGCTGGATACATGATACAATAGTCAAAATTATACAAACTACACACAGCTGTATGACAAGAACAAATTAAAAACAGATTAAAAATATTTAAAACGAAAGTTAAGCATTACATTTCTATGCCCCTCATTGAAAGCTAGAGAGATTAAAAAAGTATAAAGAGTTCTCCTTGCTTAAATTTTGTCGAAGTACCCAACAAAAGGCGGAAGCTTTATATATACAGGGTGGCGCATCGAAAACGAAACAGACGCATTTACTGGCAGCTCAGTTTCTTTTTTAAACGCTCAGACATCTAAATACCTATAACACTTTAATATAGCTATATCGATTTTAGCTTACAGACCATTTTTCAAGACCAAATCAAAAAGTGATTGAGAAAACATTTTCTGCTTGTTAGTCTATAACGGATGAAGTAAGAAGCCGATCAAAATAATCAATAAACAAAAACAGACGTTTATATTTTCCTTATTATCTAATTGACCATAAAGTCTAATACACATTGCAAATATACAATAGTTTTAAGTTGTACAAGCATTGAATTTCAATTTGCATTTCAATTCACCTACATCCTCAAGAATTGTGCACGCAGAATACCAAATAAGCTATATAATTCATCTTTTTTTTGGTATATAAGTTGCGCCGAAATACGAATCGAGCAGAAACAGAATCAGTTCTGCGATCTAGCTATCTTTTGCAGTCTCCTAGAACTCACCCACCTTCCAACCTCAAAATGATGAAATTCGTGAGTATTGCTGAATTGTCTATTAATTGGAAATATCTAGATAATTATTTTTTTTCGGTTAACCTTTTTCACGATACTTTTTTTCAAAAATTTGAATGCCACTGGTAAGATTACTTCCCTAATATATTCTATACAACTTCTAATGTCAAACTTCATGAACTTCAGTTTATTCTCGAGCTGCAATTAATTAATTTTTTTATATAGATATATATTCATATCAACTTTTTTTCAAAAAAGAGTAGTTTTACAAAAATTTCTCAAAAGAGATAATTTTTGTAAAATGAAATACCTTATGTTTGTATAAACTCGTGTTACTTTTGGCCTTACTTTTTGTTAAAAAATGGTCCTCACCGTTATTAAGAAATATTAAACTTTTAAGCTCCAGGGTATGCTTATCTGTTCAAATGTAACCATAAATCCATGTTTCCATCATAACGTATTTATTTTTTGAGGTAAAAACAAAAAAATCGAGCATAAGGAACATAAGGACTTAATAGGAGACAAAAATTTTAATTTTGAATATTTTTTTCGAGAAATAACATATTTTATGACATAACATGTTTTTTTGAGTTTTGTTAAAAAATAAGAAAAACATCTTTTGTAGAAATTTTACGAAAAGATTTTCCTGGAAATAAAACAAGATCCCTTCGTCTTCGTGAAAAATTATATATGTTGTGCAAACGTTTACTATATATATTTAAAGAAAGAAAAGAGATAAATTAACATCAAAGACAAGACAACTAGCAATGCTAAAAAAAGGTGTTTAGTAGCAGATATCGAAAACAAAAAAGATATATGTTGTGAAAACGTTTACAATAAACACAAAAGAAAAAAAAGAAAAAAATTAACAAAGATAAGAGCAACATAGACTATTGATCCAAGCTGATTTGAAATTTATCAGCTTTCTTGAAGCAATTTAAGGAGATGTTTTCAAATTCAGAACTCAATCATTGTTCAAAACTGCAGCACTGTATATGAAAGAACACTGAAATAAGTTATTATATTTAAATATTATCCTTATCAATTGCTTTAATAACATATAGCGATCTCAGTCTCAAATATGTTTTCTTTAAAAGGTTTTTGGCATGACTGATGAATCTAAGTTTAAAATCGATTATTACGCCAAGAATTTTAACCTAATCAACCAGGCACAATCTTTGAGATCAGCTAGTTGACTTTTAACTACTTCTCTTTCACGATCTGAACAAAAAATAAAAGCCTGGATTTACTATGTATTATTTACATGTTTCGGTTATTCAAAAATGCATACTCCTTTTGAATATCATAGTTTATTGACGCCTGCGTCATTTTTATATTATCAATATCGACATAGTGAACCGGCTGAGTATCATCTGGTTGACAGAAACTCACAGACTTATGTGGATCAGCAACATATATCCAAAACAACAAGGGACCCAAAACAGATCCTTGAGGTGCACCAGATGACATCTCTAGGAATTTAGATTTATTGTTATCAATTGATATACAGTGAGTATCATCTGGTTGACAGAAACTCACAGACTTATGTTGATCAGCAACATATATCCAAAACAACAAGGGACCCAAAACAGATCCTTGAGGTGCCCCAGATGACATCTCTAGGAATTTAGATTTATTGTTATCAATTGATATACACTGAGTATCATCTGACATCTCTAGGAATTTAGATTTACTGTTATGAATTGATATATACTGAGTATCATCTGGTTGACAGAAACTCACTGACTTATGTAGATCAGCAACATATATCCAAAACAACAAGGGACCCAAAACAGATCCCTGCGATACACCAGATGAAATCTCTGGGAAACTGGATTTATTGTTATCAACTGATACACACGTTTTGATAGTAATAGTATAATAAAATAATCTCTACTTTCCAGTTCGTTCTGTTCGCTGTCCTGGCCCTTGCCAGCGTAGCCTTGGCTGCCCCTAGGGCTTTCGCGTTGCCGGATCCAGTTGCTGCCCCTAATCCCTCTCCCGTCGCTGGACCATCGCCCCAGTTCATCTACTCATACCCTTACTACTATGGAGCATACATAATCTAAGCTTTCAACGGTTCATCAAAAATGTGTTTTGTTATTATTTTTTTCCAAGTTTGTAAATGTTTCTCAATAGTTCATTGTAAATGCTGTTCAAAAATAATTTAATATATGTTTATCTAACTACTTTTGTAACCGCTGATGAGAAGGTTTTTAGGTTTTTTATACCTCAATGTACCCCATAAAAACCCAGCTCGAAGATCGATCCGTTGATCGATCGGATTGGTCAAAATTTGAAAGAAATCAAATGAACAGAATGTATTAAAACATCATGTAATCTAGTTGAAAATGGAAAAATAATTTTTCTTATTTTGTCACCATTGGGTATCTTCAATTTTGAAAAAAACAATCGAAAATATTTTATTTTTATTCCAGTTCTTACACTTGCATTCTCTGTGCGATGACTGGTTATCGAGATATCACTGATCGATGACAAAAGAATTCTTTTCCATTCAATGACAGATATTTGCGCGCCCAAAGGTCGTATCGAGATTTGAACAACTTAATATTGAAGCTGAATAAACGAGCTATCTGACCCATAAGATGGCCTTGCAGAAAAACAATGCAAGCCCATCAACTGAAAAGAAAAATGCAAAAATTTTGCTAAAAGATTTTCTTGCGCTATCTGTAAAAATTACATGACAGCCGTGCTCCTCAAAAATTTTCGGATAAGAGACATAAGAACTAGAATCTTGGAGCTTCAAAATGCTTTTTTCAAAGTCTAGATATGACCATTTTTCACCGACATACAGCCTCTCAAAGGTCACCGAAAGTTTGGATTTTTTCTTGCCCCCTTAATTCTTGTGAGTAGTTCATAAGAAGAGCGATCCTTGAACCACTGCTGATTATAGGCCAATCACTATTATCTCCTTGCTTCTCGAGTACTGCTTTCGAGACAGGGTGTACGTAATTTTGGACAGAAAATGTGTTCTTTCCAAGAATCAACATGGCTTCAGGGACAATGATTTGTCCTGTCCACGCAGGCGAATCCCCTTTTGGAATATTTCACGATCACGGGAAGGCGCTCGCAACATTTTGGTCAATAAGCTCAGCCAGAGTATTTGGATCAGCTTATAATGGATTAGAGCCGTTTCTCAGATGTCGGAAGCAATATGAATGTATGACACCAAAACAAAATACAATCATGCTAGTAAAATCCTCAGCAAACACTGTCAGTGTGGGTGAGCCACAAGGATCCATCTTAGGACTAACTTTATTTAGCATCTACAGGGTGTTTCAGTTTATTGTTGCATAACTTTAAGATTCGACAGAACTTTTAAAATTAATGCATAAAGTCTATATAAACATGGGTCGAAAAATGCGTGGCTTCCGGAATACAGGGTGTTTAAATTTACTTTCTAAAATAGTTTTTTTCAAATATTTCGAACAATATTTGATGTATAACAGTGAAAATTGGTATACGAGGGTTTTTTGGTACGACAAAACAAACCATGGGCATAGTTTTACTGTAGCCGCTAGAGGGCGCTCTCTACTGTACCTGTAGTGTATTAAAATGACAGAAAATTTTTTCTTAGTGCAATTTTTTGCTTTTTGAAAAAAAAATGATTCTTCGCACTTTTCAACATAAAAAAGCTCTCTTGTGAATTTTCGTTATAGTTAGCCGTTTTTGAGATATTTCGATGTTTAAGGTTCGATGCATTATTAATTATTTATGATAAAATAACGTTAAAAAGTCAGTATCTCGATAATTTTTAGAAGTAGGCTGAGCCTGCAAATATTTTCGAAATTGTAAGCAGAATAAGGCTTACGTCAATTAGTTGACAGTTAGTTTTGTTGTCTGTTGAAACCTGAAACGTTTTTTTGCAAATGTGAATGCACGAAATTTAGTTTCTTTTACCTGTTTTTTTTTATAAAAATGCCATTTTTATTCTCCAATCAAGAGTTAGCGGATACTTATTTTGTGTATGGCTTTGTAAATGGAAACGTAGCAGGAGCAGCCAGAGAATACGCACCAAGATTTCCAAACAGACGACATCCAACTCGCTCAGTATTTGTAAGAGTGCATCGCCAAATAATTGAAAATGGTTTTGGAAATCTCCAAAGGGATCAAAACATAAATGTTTGTCAGCGCAGATTTACCCGTATGATTCTGCGTGAGTTTGATAGAGATCCGACCACAAGTGTTAGGAGAGTTTCTGGTGCCTTGGGAATTTCAGCAAGCCATGTTCACCGTGTTCTTAGAAATGACCATAGACGTCCTTACCATTTGCAACCTGTGCAAGGACTACAGCCAGGGGACGGAGAACGAAGAATCACATTTTGTCAGTGGATTCTTGATAGAACCTGCAAGGTTAAATGCTGCGACCTTCTTGGAATTTTTAAAGGCTGAACATGCAAATATGTAGGATGATGTTATGTTAGATTTAAGAAGATTGGCCTGGTTCCAGCTTGATGGTTGTCCAGCTCATTATTCGAGAATAGTTAGAGACTGGCTGGACGAAAATTATCCAGAAAGATGGATCGGCCGTGGAGGACCAGTCGCCTGGCCTCCACGATCCCCTGACCTAAATCCATTAGATTTCTTTGTGTGTGGATTTCTAAAAGAAAAAGTTTACCAGACTCCCGTAACCACAAGAGATATGCTAATAGACAGAATCAGGAATGCATGTGATGAAATAAGGCCTTATTTGAATAATGCTATACCACGTTCGATCATTCGTAGATGTTAATTGTGTATTGAACAATTGGGTTCACATTTCGAGCAACTTCTCTAGATTTTGTATGTTTGTCCTAACTATCCAATAGCATTTTAGTTGTAAATAATTAATTTAATTTGTTACAAATAATATTAGAAAAGTAAACAAATGAATATTCTGTTTTTTTGTGTTTATTTGGAGTTAGGAATTATTGCTGTGTTTAAAAACACAATCTAAACGATCATCTTAATTACTTGCAATGTCAAAATAGAAAATGTAAAAAAAATATTATTTTCCCATAAATAATTAAAAATGCATCGAACCTTAAAAATCGAAATATCTCAAAAACGGCTAGCTATAACGAAAACTCACAAGAGCGCTTTTTTATGCAGAAAAGTGCGAAGAATCAGTTTTTTTATATGAAAGGTAAAAAATTACACTAAGAAAATGTTTTCGGTCATTTTAATACACTACAGGTACAGTAGAGAGCGCCCTCTAGCGGCTACAGTAAAACTATGCCCATGGTTCGTTTTGTCGTACCAAAAAACCCTTGTATACCAATGTTCACTATTATACATCAAATATTGTTCGAAATATTTTAAAAAAACTATTTTAAAAAGTAAATTTAAACACCCTGTATTTCGGAAGCCATGTATCATGTGTTACTTTTCTGTAAAGCTTATAAAACTTTCACCCAAAGAGAAAAAAATATCCTTACACGATGTCCGATTAAAAAAACTAAGTTTGATTTATAGCCAAAAATTGACATCTCATAAAGCATCTTACTACGCCACTGGAATCTACGTGAAAAATTGTAAAAGAGCCAGTTTTTAGCTTTGCGATATGTTCAAGGATAACTGAAATACGAGGGGAGGTCCCAAAATGCAATAATTTCAATTTCGCATCTGCATTTCAGAAGCAAGAAAAAATTTATTCATACCATCTTTCTTTTCACAAAAAACTAGCACGGTATTGCAAAAACTGCAACTCTCCGCTTTGTTGAGCTAGAGCCTAAATTTGCACGCCACTCGACAACTGTTTTGCTTGGACCAACCGTTAGACAGTATTTATCATTGAGTTTTATTAATAAACAAAAATAAAGGCGTGGCAAATTTTCTGGCGCCCAGAGTCCGAAAAATGACGAAACGACCCCTGCCCCACGACCTCAACGGAAACAGAAAAGCGAATCACGCAGAACACGTAACGTTCTAGAAGAAGGTATCTTGAGTGGCCTTAAAGAAGACATGTTTTATAGGAAACCAACTAACGGAGAAAAACTACAGAGCTTTTTTGCTAATCGACAACACCATACTGAATCGATGAGAAAGAAATATAAGATAAAGAATGCACACGTCGTATGGTAAAAAAATAACAGACTTTATTGCAGGAACGAAGAGTGGTTACAAGTATTGAACAAAATCTGTCTGTGCCTCGATATAATTCTAATCTTTATAGGAAAAATAACAGAGCCATACAATTCAATTTGTCGGAATAATGGGCTTGTACCACATAGTTATGTTACCAACAGGATTCCATAACTTATATACTAAGTGAAATATAAATCCGAACACCCAGTTTAAATGGTTTTATTTTAATAAAAGTTGGTGAATGTATTTATCTTACTGTAAATAACAAGTGAAAAAATTTTCAGCCTTATCAGTTGGACATTCCGGTTTTTATACTGCTTTACTTTAATTCACTAACGCTCTAAAAATGAATATTTCAGCCGCAGTAAAGAATCAACGTTGGCGGATTTTGGTTCTTGACATCCTTTACGATCGGTTACGATGCCTAGAGTACGGAGACCTGTACGATTTCGTCAACTTAGTGAGTTTGATAGGGGCCGTACAGTGGGACTTCGGGAAGCTGGACTTTCTTTTCGGGCAATTGCAGTTAGAGTGCAAAGAAGTGTAGACACTGTGGTTAGGTGTTGTCAGGCATGGCTTCGAGAAGGCCGTACGCAAAGAGCAAGGGGCACTGGACGCCGCCGTAGAACAACAGACCGTGAAGATCGCCGCCTAAGATTACTGGCCTTAAGGGACCGTTTCTCCACTACCAGGTCCATTGCAAATGAATGGTTTGCAGAACACGGAAGACCTATTGGCATGCGAAATGTTTACCGACGAATGAGAAGTTTTGGCTTGTTTTCATACCGGCCACACTGGGTCCTCCCTTTAACTCGAGAACACCGACGTAATCGCCTTGAGTGGTGCAGACAACGGTCACTCTGGAATGGAACAGTATTGTCTTTAGTGACGAGTCTCGATTTTGTTTAGGCATGCACGATGGTCGTGCCAGGGTTAGAAGGCGACGTGGTGAAAGGAGGAACCCACAGTTTTTTGTTGAAAG